TCCCGGGGCACACCTGCACCCTCCTCTCAGACTCACAAACCCAGGGGCAGGACGTGTGGCCCAAGACGCCCTAGACGAAGGGGCGGGGTCACCGTCAGGGAGGGCCACCCCCCAAGCCACAGACAGACGGTGCCCGCGGCGTCCTCCAAAACTGCCAGCAGACAGGCCGGCGGGGAAAGCCCTTAGCATCCCAGCACCACTCAAAGTGGAAGAGTCCTCACCTGGCTCAGCAGCGCTGCTGAGCCCCAGGCTCCGCCCCCGGCCGGAGCCTGACCCCGCCCACCGGACTCTCCCTGAGCACAGGTGCACTTCACAGAGCCGCCGCTAGGGGGCCGGTGAGGGGGATGGGACCCTCAGTCCAAGGGGGCAGGGTGCCACTACCCCATGGGGAAAGGGGACCTCTTCCCCCATGGGGGAAGGAGGCCAACTTCCCCCTTGGGGAACGGTAAACCCTCCCCCGGGGCACACCTGCAGCCTCCTCTGCACTCACACCCCAGGGGCAGGCCGTGCGCCCGAAGACGCCCTAGACGGAGGGGCGGGGTCACCGTCAGGGAGGGCACCCTGCAAGCCTCGGACTGGCTGCGTCCGCGGCCTCCTCCAAAACTGCAGGCAGACAGGTCGGCGGGAAAGCCCTGGCAACCCAGCAGCACTCAAAGGGGAAGAGTCCTCACCTGGCCAGGCAGCGCTGATGAGCCTCAGGCTCCGCCCCCGGCCGGAGCCTGACCCCGCCCACCGGACTCTGCCTGAGCACAGGTGCAGTTCACAGGGCCGCCGCTAGGGGGCGCGGGCGAGGGGGGTTTCGGGGACCCTCAGCCCAAAGGGTAGGGGACCCTGCACCCACGGGGGTACCCTCCCCCTGCACAGGGACCAGCCCCGGGGCCCCTTCCCCTCGGTGCACGCCAGCACCCTCCTCTCGCACTCACAACCCAGTTGGTGCGTGCGAACGACGCCCTAGAGGGAGGGCCGGGGTCCCTGTCAGGGGAGGGCACTCCCTGTAAGCCAGGGACAAGCGGCGACCGCGGCCTCTTCCTAACTGCAGGCACACAGGCCGGCGCGCAAACACCCGGGCAAGCCAGAACCACTCAAAGGGGAAGAGTCCTTACCTGGCCCAGCAGCTCTGATGAGCCCCAGTCTCCACCCCTGGCCGGAGCCTGACCCCGCCCACCTGACTCTGCCTGTGCACAGGTGCACTTCCTAGGGCCGCCGCTAGGTGGCGCTGTTGAGGGGTTTCGGGGACCCTCAGCCCCCTCGGGGGTAGGGGGACATCTGCAACCATGGGGGAACGGAACTTTTCTCCCCCATGGGGTAACGGGGCTCAATTCCCCCCGGGGGAAACCCAAATCTTCCTCCCGGGACACGCCTGCACCCTCCTCTCGCACTCACAGCCCCAGCGGCGGGGCATGCGCCCGCAGACGCCCTAGACGGAGGTTTGGGGTCCCTGTCAGGGGAGGGCACCCCCTGTAAGCCAGGGACAAGCGGCGAACTCAGCCTCTTCCAAAACTGCAGGCACACAGGCTGGCGCGGAAAGCCCCGGGCAAGCCAGCACCACTCAAAGGGGATGAATCCTCACCTGGCCCGCAGCGCTGATGAGCCCCAGGCTCCGCCCCTGGCTGGAGCCTGACCCCGCCCACCCAACTCTGGCTGCGCACATGTGCACTTCCTAGGGCCGCCGCTAGGGGGCGCTGGTGAGGGCGTTCGGGAATCCTCAGCCCCCACCGGGCTGGGGCCACCCCTGCACCCATGGGGGTACGGGATTGTCCTCCCTCATGGGGGAACGGGGCTATCTTCCCTTCGGGGGAAGCCCAAATCTTCCTCCAGGCGCATGCCTGCACCATCCTCTGGCACTCACAGCCCCAGTGGCGGGGCAGTGTGCCTGCAGACGCCCTAGACGGAGGGCGGGGTGCCTGTCAGGGGACGGCACCCCCTGTAAGGCAGGGACAAGCGGCGACCACAGCCTCTTCCAAAACTGCAGGCACAAAGGCCGGCGCGGAAAGCCCCGGGCAAGCCAGCACCACTCAAAGGGGAAGAGTCCGCAGATGGCCCAGCAGCGCTGATGAGCCCCAGGCTCCACCCCTGGACGGAGCCTGACCCCGCCCACCCGACTCTTCCTGCGCACAGGTGCACTACCTAGGGCCGCATCTAGGGGGCGCTGGTGAGGGGGTTAGGGGACCCTCAGCCTCCTCGGGTCTAGGGGGACCTCTGCACCCATGGGGGAATGGAACTTTCCTCCCCCATGTGGGAACGGGGCCCTCTTCCCCTCGGGTAAGCCAAATCTTCCTCCCAAGTCACGCCAGCACCCTCCTCTGGCACTCACAGCCCCAGCGGCGGGGCCGTGCGCCCTCAGACGCCCTAGACGGAGGGCCGGGGTCCCTGTCAGGGGAGGGCACCCCCTGTAAGCCAGGGACAAGCGGCGACCGCGGCCTCTTCCACAACTGCAGGCACACAGGCCGGCGCGGAAAGCCCCGGGCAAGCCAGCACCACTCAAAGGGGAAGAGTCCGCACCTGGACCAGCAGCGCTGATGAGCCCCAGGCTCCGCCCCTGGCCGGAGCCTGACCCCACCCACCTGACTTTGCCTGCGCACTGGTGCACTTCCTAGGGCCGCCGCTAGGGGGCGCTGTTGAGGGGGATCGGGGACCCTCAGCCCCCTCGGGGCTAGGGGGACCTCTGCAACCATGGGGGAATGGAACTTTTCTCCCCCATGGGGGAACGGGGCTCACTTCCCCTTCGGGGAAGCCCAAATCTTCCTCCCGGGAAACGCCAGCACCCTCCTCTCGCACTCACAGCCCCAGCGGCGGGGCATGCGCCCGCAGACGCCCTAGACGGAGGGCTGGGGTCCCTGTCAGGGTAGGGCACCCCCTGTAAGCCAGGGACAAGCGGCGACCAAAGTCTCTTCCAAAACTGCAGGCAAACAGGCCGGCGCGGAAAGTCCCCGGCAAGCCAGCACCACTCAAAGGGGAAGAATCCTCACCTGGCCCGCAGCGCTGAGGGCCCCACCTGACCCCGCCCACCCGACTCTGGCTGCGCACAGATGCACTTCCTAGGGCCGCCGCTAGGGGGCGATGGTGAGGGCGGGTTCGGGAATCCTCAGCCCCCACCGGTCTGGGGCCACCCCTGCACCCATGGGGGTACGGGATTGTCCTCCCCCATGGGGGAATGGGGCTATCTTCCCCTTGGTGGAAGCCCAAATCTTTCCCCCGGGGAACACTGGCACCCTCCTTCGCACTCACAGCCCCAGGGGCATGCCGAGCGATCTAAGGCGCCCTAGACGGAGGGGTGGGGTCACTGTCCGAGACGGCACCCCCTGTACGCCACAGACAAGCGGCGACCACGGCCTCTTCCAAAACTGCAGGAAGACAGGGCGGCGCAGAAAGCCCAGGGCAACCCAGCCCCACTGAAAGGGTAAGAGTCCTCACCTGGCCCAGCAGCGCTGATGAGCCCCAGGCTCCGCCCTGGCCCTAGCCTGACCCCGCCCACTGGACTCTGCATGCGCGAAGGGGCACTTCTCAGGGCTGCCGCTAGGGGGCGCTGGTGAGGGAGTTCGGGAACCTCAGCCTTCATGGGGTTTGGGGGACCTGTACCCCCATGGGGAAACGGGGCATCCTTCCCCCATGGGGGAACGGGGCACTCTTCCCCCTTGGGGGAACGCTGAGTCTTTCCCCCGGGGCACACCTGCAACCTCCTCTCGCACTCACACCCCTAGGGGCATGCCGTGCGCCTGAAGACGCCACGGTCACTGTCAGGGGGGCACCCCCTGGAAGCCACAGACGAGCGGTGACCGTGGCCTCTTCCAAAACTGCAGGCAGACAGGCCGGCGGGGAAATCCCCGGGCAACTGTCACCACTCAGAGGGGAAGAGTCCTTCCCTGGCCCAGCAGGGAATGAAGAGCCCGAGGCTCCGCCCCTGGCCCAGAGCCTGACCCCGCCCACTGGACGGCTCGTGCGCGAAGGTGCACTTGTCAGGGCCGCCGGTAGCGGGCGCTGGTGAGAGGGTTCGCGGACCCTCAGTCCCCACGGGTTTAGGGGGATCTCTACCCCCATGGGGAAATGGGACCCACTTCCCCCTTAGGACCGGGGCACCCTTCCCCCTTGGGGGAACGGTCAATCTTCCCCCGGGGGCACACCTCCACCCTCTTCTCGCACTCACACCCCCAGGGCCAGGCCGTGCTCCCTGTGACGCCCATGAGGGAGGGGCGGGGTCACTGTCGGGGGGGTACCCCCTGGAAACCACAGACGAGCGGCGACCGCGGCCTCTTCCTAAACTAGAGGCAGACAAGCCGGCGGGGAAAGGCACCGGCAGCCCAGCCCCACTCAGAAGGGAATAGTCTTCACCTGGCCCAGCAGCGCTGATGAGCCCCGGGCTCCGCCCCCGGCCGCAGTCTGGCCCCGCCCACCAGATTTTGCCTGCGCAGCGGTGCACTTCTCAGGGCCGCCGAGAGGGGGCACTGGTCAGGGACTTCCCAGACCCTCCTCCCCCACGGGTTGCGGGTCCCTCTACACCAACGGGGTTATGGGGTACTAAGTCCCTTACAGGGACCCGGTTCTCAAGACCGTTTTGGGAACAGGTCCCCTTCCCCCTGGTGGATACCTGCACCCTCCTCTCGCACTCACACCCCCAGGGCCAGGCCGTGCCCCCAAAGAGGCCCATGAGGGAGGGGCGGGGTCACTCCTGGAAGTCAGGGTGGGCACCCCTGGAAGCCACAGACGAGCGGCGACCGCGGCCTCTTCCAAAACTAGAGGCAGACAGGCCGGCGTGGAAAACCCCGGGCAACCCAGCACCACTCAGAGGGGAAGAGTCCTCACCTGGCCCAGCAGCGCTAATGAGTCCCAGGCTCCGCCCCCGGCCGGAGGCTGACCCCGCCCACTGGATTATGCATGCGCAGAGGTGCACTGCTCAGGGCCGCCGCTAGGGGGCGCTGGTGAGGGAGTTCGGAAACCTCAGTCCCCATGGGGTTTGGGGAACCTCTACCCCCATGGGGAAACGGGACCCACTTACCCCATGGGGGTACGGGGCACTCTTCCCCATTAGGGGAATGGTCAATCTTCCCCCCGGGTCACACCTGCACCCTCCTCTCGCACAGACAATCCCAGGGGCAGGCCGTGCGCCTGAAGACGTCCTTGACGGAGGGGCAGGGTCCCTGTCAGGGAGGGCACCCCCTGTAAGCCACAGACGAATGGCGACCGCGGCTTCCTCCAAAACTGCAGAGACATAGGACAGCGGGGAAAGGCCCCGGCAAGCAAGACCCACACAGAGGGGAAGAGTCCTCACCTGGCCCAGCAGCGCTGATGAGCCCCAGACTCCGCCCCCGGCTGGAGCTTGACCCCGCCCCCCAGACTCTGCCTGCGCAAAGGGGCTCTTCTCAGGGTCTACGCTTGAGGGTGCAGGTGAGGGGTTTTGGGGACCCTAGGCCCCCTCGGGGTTAGGGGGCCCCCTACCCCGATTGGGAAACGATATCCCCTTCAACCATGGGCAAACTGGGCCCCCTTCCCCCTTGGGGGATTGGTAAATCTTTCCCCCGTGGAACACCTGCACCATCCTCTCGCACTCACAGCCCCAGGGGCACGCTGAGCGACCGAAGGCGCCCTAAACGGAGGGGCGGGGTCACTGTCCGAGACGGCACCCCCTGTACGCCATAGACAAGCGGCTACCGCGGCCTCCTCCAAAACTGCAGGCAGACAGGGCGGCGCAGAAAGCCCAGGGCAACCCAACCCCACTGAAAGGGTAAGAGTCCTCACCTGGCCCAGCAGCGCTGATGAGCCCCAGGCTCCGCCCTGGCCCTAGCCTGACCCCGCCCACTGGACTCTGCATTCGCAAACGTGCACTGCTCAGGGCCGTCGCTAGGGGGGGCTGGTGAGGGAGTCTGGATCCTCAGTCCCCATGGGGGTTGGGGGACCTCTACCCCATGGGGAAACGGGGCACCCTTCCCGCATGGGGGAACGGGGCACTCTTCCCCCTTGGGGGAACGGTGAGTCTTTCCCCCGGGGCACACCTGCAACCTCCTCTCGCACTCACACCCCTAGGGGCAAGCCGTGTGCCCGAAGACACCCTAGACGGAGGGGCGGGGTCACTGTCAGGGTGTGCACCCCCTGAAATCCACAGACGAGCGGTGACCGTGGCCTCTTCCAAAACTGCAGGCAGACAGGCTGGCGCAGAAATCCCCGGCAACCCAGCACCACTCAGAGGGGAAGAGTCCTCCCCTGGCCCAGCAGCGAATGAAGAGCCCGAGGCTCCGCCCCTGGCCCAGAGCCTGACCCCGCCCACTGGACGGCGCGTGCGCAAAGGTGCTCTTCTCAGGGCCGCCGATAGGGGGCGCTGGTGAGAGGGTTCGGGACCCTCAGCCCCCACGGGTTTAGGGGGCTCTTTACCCCCATGGGGAAACGGGACCCACCTCCCCCGTGGGGGAACGGGGCACTCTTCCCACTTGGGGGAACGGTCAATCTTCCCCCCAGGGCACACCTGCACCCTCCTCTCGCACTCGCACCCCCAGGCACTGGCCGTGCGTCCCAAGATGCCCCAGACGGAGCGGCGGGGTCACGGTCAGGGAGGGCATCCCCTGTAAGCCACAGACGAGCGGCGACCGCGGCCTCTTCCGAAACTGCAGGCAGCTAGGCAGGCGGGGAAAGGTCCTGGCAACCCAGCCCCACTCAGAGGGGAAGAGTCTTCACCTGGCTCAGCAGCGCTGATGAGCCCCAGGCTCCGCCCCTGGCCGGAGTCTGACCCCGCCTACTGGTCTCTGCCTGCACAACGGTGCACTTCTCACGGCCGCCCTGAGGGGGCGCTGGTCAGAGACTTCGCGGACCCTCATCCCCAACGGGGCTGTGGGTCCCTCTACACCAACGGGGTTACGGGGTCCTAAGTCCCCTACAGGGACTCGCTTCTCGAGCCCGTTTTGGGAACGGGTCCCCTTCCCCCTGGTGGATACCTACACCCTCCTCTTGCAATCACACCCCTAGGGCCAGGCCGTGCCCCCAAAAACGCCCATGACGGAGCGGCGGGGTCACTGTCACGGGGGGCACCCCCTGGAAGCCACAGACGAGCGGCGACCGCGTCTTCTTCCACAATTGCAGAGAGACAGGCCGGCGGGGAAAGGCAAGGGCAACCCAGCCCCATTCAGAGGGGAAGAGTCTTCACCTGGCCCAGCAGCGCTGATGAGCCCCGGCTCCGCCCCCCGCTGGAGCCTGACCCTGCTCACTGGACTCTGCCTGCGCAACGGTGCACTTCTCAGGGCCGCCTTGAGGGGGCGCTGGTCAGGGACTTCGCGGACCCTCATCCCCCACGGGGCTTGGGGGCCCTCTACACCAACCGGGTTACGGGGTCCTAAGACCCCTACAGGGACCAGGTTCTCAAGCCCGTTTTGGGAACGGGTCCCCTTCCCCCTGGTGGATACCTACACCCTCCTCTTGCAATCACACCCCTAGGGCCAGGCCGTGCCCCCAAAAACGCCCATGACGGAGCGGCGGGGTCACTGTCACGGGGGGCACCCCCTGGAAGCCACAGACAAGCGGCGACCTCGGCCTCTTCCAAAATTGCAGGCAGACAGGCCGGCGCGGAAAGCCCCGGGCAACCCAGCCCCACTCAGAGGGGAAGAGTCCTCACCTGGCCCAGCAGTGCTGCTGAGCCTCTGGCTATGCCCCAGGCTGGAGCTTGACCCCGCCCCCGGACTCTGCCTGCGCAAAGGTGCGCTTCCCAGGGTTTCAGCTTGGGGGCGCAGGTGAGGGGTTTCGGTGACCGTCAGACCCCACTGGGTTAGGGGCCCCCCTACCCCAATTGGGAAACTGGATCCCCTTCAACCAGGGGGAAACTGGGCCCCCTTCCCTCTTGGGGGATTGGTAAAGCTTTCCCCCGGAGAACACCTGCACCCTGCTCTTGCACTCACACCCCCAGGGGCACGCAATGCGACCGAAGGCGCTCTAGACGGAGGGGCGGGGTCACTGATGTTTACCCTATAAGGGAACCATTTTGGAAAGAATGTCCTTTCAAAATCCTGCCAAATATTGGTGAGAAAGGCTCACACTTCATTTCCTTTTGCACCTTCCTGAGGTTATACCAGGGCCACCTACTTTGTGTTTTTGACCACAAACAAATTAATTTGCTAATATTTCTCAATAGAGCCAACGTGTATTTAGGCCCTGTGTTAGTAGTGTTTTGGGGTTTGAAGGAATCCTTGAGGGTCTCATCCTTGAGGGTCTTGAGTCTAATGGGGGAGATTTATGTAGCTGCAGATAATATCTCAGATTGTCCCTCATCTACAACTGGATAACCAGTCTTATCCATTAAAAAAAATCCATAATTAAAGAGGAAAGTAATTATTTTTTATTTTAGAAAATACAGCCAGATTAAAAAATCTATAAATAAAAATATAAAAATCATTCTTTCTTAATGTAGTGATAATCACTGTTCTCTCAGGTTTTTTGTTGTTGTTGTTGTTCCGTCTGCAGATCCATTTTGTTCAGAAAAGAAAATATAAGCAATTATCCTCAGTATGGTATCTCTTCCGTTTCAGTTTTAAGTGCCTTGTTGGTTGACATGTGTTTCCTACAACTTGTATAGTATCACCTACACTCTGTTTGGGGAAAAAAAAATCTATCACATTTGACCTTTCTTGCCTATTGATTTTTTTCTTGTAGGGTCACTTTTAGCCAGTAAGGTCTGTCATTGAAACCCTCCCCTCTGTTAGATGTTCCACCATGATATCGGGTAAATCGTGTCTCAATTTTGTGGTCTTCAGCTGTTGTGTAGAGGACTCTCTTTTCCTTCTTGAGGACCAGTGTACTCTCTCAGTTTCACACATACAGAACTTTAGTTCCTTTCAGCCAACCTCAGAAACCTTGTACTTCAATTAAGGTGAACTCACCTGACTATCAGAGTATAGAAGACATGTTTTCTCACAAAAGCTTGCTTATTTATTTATTTATTTTAAAGATTTATTTATTTATGCATACAAGAGCTGGGGTACAGGCCAGCGATGCAGGGGGTGAGAGGATTCACCAGAGACAGAGTGGGGGGCAGAACAGGCAGACTGACTGAAATACACTGCTGAGGGGAGCAGCGGGCAAGTCAGGAGAGGCCTGCTGTGCCCTGTGGGTTTCTCCCTGGCTGGCCGGGGAGCGAACTCGTGCTGCAGAGGCTGTGGACCACTTCATAGTGCTGTGCTTAACCCCTTGTGCCACCAGGAAGGCCCCAAAGGCTTATTTAGAAGTGACTTTATTCTGAAACTTGATGTAAAGATAGGCCAAAGAGTACTGAATGAGACTAGGAGGAGAATCATTTCTCTCACAGCTGGCTTGATAACCTTCAGCTGTAGATGGAAGCCTGAGTCTGACCTTGACCAAAAATGGCTTATTGATTTTTGTGGTGGAAGTAAAATGGCATCAATATTTCATGTGTCTTGTGAAAATAAATTCATGGGACTTTAAAGAAGCAAATGTCAGTGTTTTGCTTCTTTTGTATTTGCAGTGAAAAACATCATAAAAGTTCAAAAGCTGTCAAACATGTGCTGCTTCTATAACACCTGTGCTAGGAAAAAGGTCTTCATCTAAAATGATCTGAACTTTTGTGTAATTTCTCCCCTCTCAATAAATAAATGAATTACTCAACAGTGTGAGTATGAGGTTGACTTGAGATGTACAAATGAATAATCTTCCTTCATAAATTTCATGCTCCATTGATACCTCATAGCAGAATAAAGTCTGAGGAACATCTTCAAAATTTCAGATTGATAACATGATGATAGTAATCATTAACACTTACTTGGCACTAACTACCAGGCATTGTGCCAAATACTTTATATGTTCTCTCTCTTTTACTAATTCTAACTTCCCTTTGAGGTAGATCCTAGTATTCCCATTTTATGGATGGGGTCACACGGAGGTTAAGTAAACTACTTATAGTCCTAAAAATAGGAAGTGGTTGGTTTGGCCTGGGACTGAAACACAAGCCTCAACTGGAGTCTACACATATTGGGAAGAGAAACCTGTGAGAATTCTGTTGGGTTAGGTGAGTTTTTGTTCTACAGTCACCTTTATTAACTTATGCAGCTCTGTGTTGGCATTTGCTTTGTGGAACCCCCTTCTTTCAGTTGTTCTGTGCTGGACCATTAGACTCCTTGAGAGTAGAATAATTTATTTCTTTGTGATTGTACAGGACCTAAACTTTTTATGCAAGACAGTTAGATAAAAGTCCTGATACATAATAAAGTCTTTGGAAGAAGATGGGGGAGAATAGCTGGCACATCTTTGTAGCTTCCCTATAAAATAGCAAAGGCTAGAGGCAGTGTTCATCAGCACTGCTTCTGGAAATAATAGAGCTCTCTCTCTTGTGTTTTCAACATTTCCATAGCTTGACTTCAGAATTGCTAATGCGGTGAGCTTTTCTGACATACCTGTGTAGGGAGGACTAAGCTTTTATTCTATCTTCTTAGGTTCTGTTTCTGAGTTCTGTAAGTGAAACTGACAGATTAACAGGAGAAAAAAAGGCTACAGATTTATTTATGTATTTATTTTTGGAGAACAGAAAAGGTGGATAGCAGCAGGCAAGATAGGAGAGGTCTGCTGTGCAAAATACAGATATAAGTGATGTTTTTAATATTTTTATGCAGAAGGCCTATACAAAGAAAGAAGTGAAAACTTGAAGAAGTGATTAGAGTTGGAAGTTTAATACCATTTTAATGAAGGGAAAAGTTACTGGACAACAAAAGAAGAGTTTTAGGGACCATAAATTATGTGGGTAAGTATATGGAGAAGCAAGTGGAATATAAGGGTTATTTTATTCAATGTGTTTATGCAGACTCATCTAGATGCCATCTTTGGCGACAAAGGTTGTTCCCCTCTTTCATGTATGGGAGCAAGAATCATCTTAACAAGGGGAATTTATGTCCTACCTTTCGGTACATATGGAGAGGGTAGAGGAGTTCTTCCTATGTCTGTTTTTTCTTAATTTCCTTTAGCTCAGAATAACTCTGATGCCAGGGTGGAATGTTTGGGTATCATATCATCATCCCCTTCCCCTCATACCTCATACCCAAGGAAGAGGAGAGAGAAAAGCAAATTTCAGTGGGTTGCTGTGCTCTGTCAAGATTCTCTATGAATTTATCAATCATTGTCAGCATTTTCTCACTTTGAATTTTTGAAAGTTGTGAGGCAAATTCCTTCACTTACTCTTGGGTAGGAGTTGGGGGAGAGTTTTATATTTGTGCTTTTTGATTGGCATGGGATTTTTACATTCTTCAGCATTTTCCAGGTTTGACAAACTACTTTTTTTATATTCTTGGGACCAGAAAACAAACTCAAGATAGGTCTTTTATGCCTATTTTTTCCTGTTTCCCAGAAAGGTAGTTTGAATTCAAATTTAAAAAGAGCTGTAAACAGCTGAAGTTATTTCCTGCTAAAGGGACAGCCTCAGATCCCTTATGAGTATCTGAAGTCCTAGTGAGTCCTCTGGGTATCCCTCCATGGCAAGGACTTTGCTTGGTTCTGAGAATCTCATGGGTTTTATTTCAGGATTCCCTCAAGGAGGGGCATCTTGAACCTTTTCACTTACAAGAGCCAAAGAAATGACTTCTGCCTGGAGAATATTCTGGAGTGACTGTGTCTTTCAGAAATCTTCTGGTCAAATCTATAATTTGGGGGACAACATCTCCAATTTCTAGCTCTCTGATTATGGATGAGTGTGGCTAGGCTGAGAGAAGCCCCTCCAAGCCTTTTGACATGGTTGGAAAGTATCTTAGATTGCAAGAGATTTACAAGATTCCACAGTCACATTTCCTTGCTTGAAAACCATATTCATGACTGTTCTAATATGTTGTCTGCCCAGCTTTTTAGGTTTCCTGGCTCCTTTGGGGCTTATTGTTTGGAAGAGTCAGTGCAAGTTTGTCAATAGTAGCCCTGAGTCTACCTAAACTATTTCGTGGCCAGAAACTGACAGTGAAACATTTCAACAGAAACCAAGCCCTCCAAAGTGAACTTTCTAAATGGTGTGCTGAATCTGAGAATTTCAACCTTATTTTTCTGTTGGGTAAAAATCATTCTCTTTTATTGTCCTGTACTCACTTTTATTTTATTTTTTTAAAGATTTAATTATTTATGCATACAAGAACTGGAGTATAAGCCAGAGGTGGGAGAGGGGCGTGAGAGGATTCACCAAACCCCGTGTGGGCTGAGGGTCCGCGAACGCGCTCACCAGCGCCCCCTACCGGCGGCCCCTAGAAGTGCACCTTTGCGTAAGCACAGTCTGTTGGGCGGAGCCTGGGACTCATCAGCGCTGCTGGGCCAGGTGAGGACTCTTCCCCACTGAGTGGTGCTGGGTTGCCGGGGCTTTCCGCGCCGGCCTGTCTGCCCGCAATTTTGGAAGAGGCCGCGGTCGCCGCCCGTCTGTGGCTTCCAGGGGTTGCCCCCCCGACAGTGACCCCGCCCATCCCTCATAGGCTTCCTGGAATCAAAGTTCAAACCTTGCTTTGTAAAATTGCTCAGCGTTCACTCCAGGAAGGAGGGTTGTCAGCACTTCTTTAAAATAGGGACGGTAATAATTTTTCCTTTAAGAGACTGGTTCTCAGGCCTCCGGTTGCTCTGTCAGTTACTTAGGTCTCACACAAGAAACCAAAGCCTTTTTTAAAAAAGAAAATAATGTATATATACAGGGATTCTGACATAATGACATTTTTAGGAAAATATAATTATATTAATGGGAATAAGTTTTATTGCTATAACTTTAGAATGCACAAAAAAATGTATTTGTACTTGTTATTATGATGCTCTTGAGTGTTAGCTTTCCACTAAGTATCTTTGAAGCCAAAGATAAAGATCTGCAATTTGTCAGGACTGTTGACAGAGAAGGTGAGTTACTTCTGCAGCTGGACAGTCAGTATCAATGAGAGCAAATTCCTAATCATTATTAGGGAAGCCTGCAATTTAGATGACCAATGGGTCTTGGTGGAAAGCAACTGCCCTAGAAAGTAACATTCTCCGTCTTCTATCCCTGTGGGCAGCGAAGTTATTTTCACTGTCTACTCATCTGCTTACTAAATTAGCATATGGTTTTGTACACACAAGGATTGGGAGGGAATCAGGGGTGTTCCTAGAAACGTGTAAGGGCAAATTCTAATCTCTCAATCATCTGTGACTGAGACCTGTGACTCTGTTACAGGGCAGGGAGAGGGGCACTCCGGACCCCGCAAATCTGCCTGTTCTAAATGGGTTCTGCCATCTGCCGCATCAACACAAAACATATGAGACTTTAATGGGAAGGAACTTTAATACAATTAGGAAACAATACAGAAAAGACAAGGAATATAGTTTCTTTTTTTTTTTAAAGATTTATTTATTTATTTATACAAGCACTGGGTACAGTCAGAAGCGTGAGAGGGTGAGAGAATTCACCAGAGCCAGAGCGGGAAGCGGAACAGGCAGACTGACGAAATACACTGCTGAGGGGAGCAACGGGTGGCAGGAGAGGTCTGCGCGCTTCGTGGGACCCTCGCCGGCGGCCGGGGATCGAACTGGTGCTGCAGAGGCTGCGCGCAGCCTGGCAACCCAGCGCTCAACCACTGCGCCACTAGGGGAGGCCCCGGAATATAGTTTCTAAATCAAGCACCCAAAGTTACCCGTCCTCTCATGGGTAAAAGTCCACCCAAATGGGATTGGCCCAGAGCAAGGCCCCAAAGCCTGCCACAAGTCTAAAGCATCTTCCAGTGGGGACCCACAGAAAAGGATCAGAAACAACCAGACAAGTCTGGAGGGAAAAGAGCAAAATCAACATCAAGACAAAAACCGTCACTGTCACCTCCCCACAGGTCTCTCACCCACATCTGTGTCAACCAGTCCATGACCAAAAGGCAAGAGTAGTTTCTTCACATGTCTCTCTGCTCCATGTGCCTCCTCCAAGTCTCCTTCTGGCTCAGCTCTCCATCCTGCTTCTTTCCTTCCTCAGTCTTCTCTGTAGCTTCTTCTCTCTGCTCAACTCAGAGTCTCTCTGGAACCTCCCCCTTTCCTGGGGACCACCCTATTACAACTCCAGGCTAAGAAAAAGTTAAGATGATCTTTTCCTAGAAGCCTATTAATGAAAAACTTAAAAAAAAGTTTATGAGCAACTTTAGGAATGGGTATGAAAGGTGCCTTGGGCCTTGTAGTGACTGATGTTAGTCACTGAAGGTGTGCGACCCCGAGAATTGTCACAGCCCCCTCCCCACATACTTCCACCCCCTGCACCCTTCCCCCTTGAGTTTTTTGTAAGACTGGTCCTGTAATTACCCTATTTCAATTATAGATTTTGTAGACCACTGCTTTTCCTTTAGTTTTGGCCTTGTCATTCTCTAGGAGAAATCCTCAGGGATTCCAAACTCTTGGGCCCCTCTTCCTCCTTCCAAAGATCAATTCTAGGATGGAGCTGGAAGGAATTAGGCTTAGTGAAACAAATCAGAAGGAAAAAGAAAAATATCAGATTTTTCTTTCTGAAGTTTCACTTATAGGAGGAACATAGGGGAACTCAATAAGGGATCAGGGAAAAAAATACAAAACTAGCAGGCAACTATAAACCTGGAGTCATTCAGCAGAGGAGGGAGCAGGAGAGGGATCAAAACAGGGGCAGGAAAAGCACAAGAGACTGTGGTGATGATGCATGGGTGACTTGATGGTAAGAATTTTATGGGGACTACATCTGAGAGGAGAAAGCAAACTACAAAAATGAACAATCATGTAAAATTTATATAGAGAAATAAATGGAAAAAAAGCAAAAATCAAATCTAGTTGGGGCAAAAACTTAAACGTTGGTTTGGGTTAAGATTTTTCCCTGGCCTTTTCTGGGATTAGTAGGATTCTTTGATATTTCTTCTAGTTGTTCTGTTCCTAAACAATCTTGACTTTCAGGGCCAAACTAGTTGGAAGGTGGGAAGGATCTCTTTGCCTGAGGCATCCCCCTGCCTGGCCTGAACTTTCATCGAGATGCCTGATCCAGGAGGCTGGTGGGTATGGTGCCCACTAGAGGTGTTCTGCCCAACTTCCCCAGGGCCACCAGGCAAGGCTGACAACTTTCATGATTAAAAACATGACTTTTAGGAACATTTCAGACCATTTAAAGGAGCACTGCGCTGTGATTTGAGAGAGGAGGCAGTTAGGGCAACCATTTTCCACTTTCAAGGTTAACGTCTTAGTGAATAAATGATTTTGGAAAAAATGAATGGTTTAGACATCTTGTTGCTTTCCTGTAGCTGGTGCCTCTGAATCCACAGAATTTGGTTCTGTCGTAACTGATGTCAGTGTCAGGACTGTCGGGTTTATTGAGCAGGGGTCCTCAGGGTACCTTCTGAGAAAATTTCACCGGAGCTCCCTTTTCAGCAGCACGTGAGCTTCCCCACAAGGCAGAGATGATTAGTTATCTCCAAAAGGGCAGTTTTATTCTATAAAAAAGGAAAAGCAAAAAGACTGCTTGCAGTCACAAGAGGGCAGAAAGAGCTGCCTTTGAAAGGGACAGGTTTGCTAAAAGAAATGCTTGTATAGACACACAGGTGGGCAGGAGAGCTGTCTCTTGCCAATGCAGAAATTGTACTGATAAAGTCTTCTTTTTGGGAGGGATTTGTTCCTTTGTGGAATTGTTATGCATTGTTAAATTAATTACTTCTAAGGTTTGACTAGGTTGTTTTGTAAGGACCAGTAATTCTCTACAATGACCCTCAATCTCCTTATCCCTACCTCTCTAGTCTGCGCCTCCAGATACTTTTTTAAAAGGATTTATTTATGCATGCATGCAAGAAATGGGTGCGGGGCGGGTGAGAGGATTCACCAGAGAGAGTAGGGAGCAGAACAGGCAGATCCCCTCTACACTGCTGAGGGAGGCAGTGGGTGTGGCACCATGTGGGTTGCTCCCTGCCCGCTAGGGTTCTAACAACTGGTGCTGCAGTGGCTGGTGACAGCTTGACAGCACTGTCTTTAACCTCTGTGCCACCAAGGAGGTCCCCCTCCGGATACTTTCCATAGCAGCCTGACACTTGCTATAGCAGTTTGGCAGCTAAGGATTTTTCATTTCTATAGCTGGTTTAACAACTATGCTAATCATTTCTACCCCTACCTTCCAGTTTCTGATCTTGTGATGCCAACATCCTAAATTATCTACTCTTAGCCTCCATCAGTAACTTTGTACTTCCCCAGAGTCTCTCTGTTAGCAGGCAGAAAAAAATGAGAGGCACCCCAGGGGCCCAAACCTGCATGCTGTAAATGGGTCCTGCCTTCTGCTGCAAAAAGACAAAAATATTTTTAGTAGTTACAACCTTCAACAGAAAAGAACTTTAATATAATTAGTATGCAATAGGAGAGAAAAATTACATTTAAAACAGTTTCCCCGTGGAACACCCAAAGTTACCCATCCCCTTGTGGGTAAGTGCCCAGGCAAACAGAGTTGCCCCAAGCAGGACCACTGGGGCATGAAAGCTGCCATAAGTCTAAGGCACATTCTGGTGGGGACCCATAGGAAAGGGGCCGAAGGGGCCAGGCAAGTCTAGAAGGTAAATAACAAAATCAAAATACAATTCAAGATAAAGGCTGCCACTGTCAGTCTCCTCATGGGACTCTTACCCACATCTCTATCTCTTTCATGTGTCTTTTTCCATGTCACCCAAGTCCCTGGTTCAGGCCCAAGGCAGAGATGCAATTGCTGCTGCTTCTTCACACGTCTCTGTGCTCCATGTGCCTCCTCTATGTCTTCTGCCTCCAGCCTTCTCTCCCAAGTCCTTTTTAGCTTCCCCTTGTTGCTCTGCAGCACCCTTCTTTAGGTGGGGCAGGGACCCTGGAACCTCCCCTTTCTATGGGAATTACACTGTTATATGTCTTTTTTGTGGGCCTGAGAAAATTTGAATCCTTTTTTGTGAACTGAGGAGTCCAGTTTTCAAAGTTATCTTTTATTCTTGGTTCTCTATATTTTCCTTTTGTGTTCATTAATATTTCTTATACATCCAGAGCTAGTATTGTTACACAGAGTTCCAGTATTAACTAGAAATGCACCTCAGCTACAGCTTTGGCCCCCATGCGTCCTTAGGGTAAGGTTTCAGTGAGCTCCTCGCTTAAGCCCAGT